ACTTTGATGACTTAAAAATTTAATTGCAAATAGCTTTCTCTCTGTCAAGTATGGTACACCCAGGGGCACTGGATGCTACTGAATTGGTGCAGAAAATCATGTTGTTTCAAAGAAAGTTTTATGTACTCATTATTCATCTCAACTATTGAGTCGGGTTTGTTGCTTCTGGCAGTAACTAGGAGCTGAAGTTCCAGAGGAAAATGAGAAGACATTTCATGACCTTAACAAATTTAGCAGTTCTGGATTTTGCAGGCCTAATTCTTGCTTCCTGGAGATACGCAGGTAAAGCCTGAAACATAGAGGGATAGCCTCTTACTCAAGTTTTTAATGTTATTTTAATTGTTTGCTTTGTTAGAAGGTGTCTTTCATATAACTGCAGAGGCAGTGTGATGTTCTTTCCTAATTACACAAACAGTGTCAGGAGTTAGTTGCTCCCAACACTGTATTACAATAAGTAGTAATTCTTTTTTGGAACAGAAAAGTAAGCAGTGGCCTTATGGGAGTTAATGTTTTAATTTTGGTCTTGCTGGATGTTCTGGAAATCCTGCATTACCCTATTGTTGCTGTATAAGATTACTTTGCATCTAGGTGTGCTGCAGCAGCACTTCTAGGGGTTTCATTAGTTTGCTACCTTTTCAAGTCAGCTTGATAAGAACATATTTTAGTGATTGAAGATGCTTCCTTTACTACTTAGTTATGTACCATGTGTGGGTTCAAGCACTATTTCCATTACTAGATTTGCCTTAGGTGCTGCTAAATGTATTTTGCTAATTGTAAGAAAATTGCAAAAGTTGTTGATAGAAAAAAAATCACTCTGAATAGCTTCTCAAAAAGAACTCTGTAAGTTTCAGTAAGTGTTTGTTTTGACAGACAAATTGGTGCTTTCACTAAATCAGCAGTTTGCTTAAAAATAGCCACCCTAGGTTGTAGTTCTGCATGTATCCACTTTTTCTAGAAATCAAAATATTGTTCTTTGTGGATGACTGACTCATACATGCGAATAGAAGAGCGACTTAGAATAGTTTATACAACTGTAGAAGAAGAAGCAGCTTATTCATTAGTGTGATAAGGGCACAAGGAATAGGAAAGGTGTGTGTTAGATGTTGAGAGATCACTAGTGATTATTGGCTAAGTAATTATAAAGATGATACTGCAATGAATACAGGAAGATGTCCGGAGCAGGTTGTGTTCTCTTGACCCTGTTGAAATGCTACAAAAGGGTGCAGGATCTGTTGATGTGTAATGTGTGCTGAGATCCTGTGTAACCCAGCCAGCACTGAATGTCGTTTGCCAAACTGGTCTTTTTTTACTTGTTTTCTGCATAGTCTGCACTGGGTTAGTGTAGTGTCACTGGCTCTGTAACCAGATGAAACAGCTGCAGGGCTCTGTGTCCACATGTCGCTGAAGGTTTTATGGGCAGTTAGAATGAAATGCCTTTTTTTCAAATGGGGAATTATTCCATGATTTTCCCAGACAATACAGAAAAGAACATAAGTGTTATACTGTAGTTTGTCTTTACCTTTTTTACTGTTTAAAGACAACAGGTAAATCTGACAACCTCAAAATACTTAGCAAATGCACATATATATATGCATGCATGTTTACAGGATGTGAGTTTACTGTTGATGTGCATGAATGGAAGGTTTTGAATTCCATGTTGCTGAATTGTTGAATTCCATGCTGCTGTTCAGGCACCAGGTAGCCTGTAAGCATGACCATTTTGCAGGATGAGGGTCCAGATTAAGAATATTAAGAAAAATATATCCTGCAGAATACTATAATAATTTCCCTCCTAATATAGCCTGAAATAAAGAAATTGCAGGAGTGAAGTATCATGCTGCGATTTGAAGGATTCAAATCCCAGGAGAGGAAGAGACAATTCTGCTGAGGCTTTTTTCTCTATTATCTTCCAAAACACTTAGAATTTGGGCCACAGACACACTGCAGTTTTCTCTGAGGAGACTGGTCTGTTGATAGCTTTGTGGTAGCTACAATTTGCTGGTAAAATTGCTGCCTGGACAAAGCTGAAGAAAGAAGTGGCAAGTACCCTGAAAATCTGATCTTCTATCTTAAGAAAAATTATGTTACACGTTACTAAAGACAATATTTGTTCTGGTTTGGGCCATTTTCACAGATGCATGTAAAAAAACCCAGATTTATAAGCTTGTGTTAAAAAGTTGTATAAGCTCCTGCTCTAGTGAAGGCTGGAGTAAGCTTGGGGGTAATTAGGTTTGGGAGTTTCTTGGTAGGTGATTTAGAAACTGCAATGGGACATTCATTTTCTGACTAGAAGTCTAATGTGAGGATTGGAAGGAGCAACTTCATACTTCTGATATGCTAAATGTAATAGAAAACCATGTATCATATGCTTTGTTGATGGCTTTTCAGTAAAAGCCAAAGAAATGAAATGCACCCATTGATATGATCCATCACGTGGCCCTGAAAAAGCTTGTTTAGAGGATCTGTGTTGTTTTAGGCTATGTGTGATATTTGTGTGCATCTTGCAAAATCCTTGGTTGGGATGAGTAACTTTCTGATGAGCAAATAAAATATCACCAGAGATTATATGTTTTTAATTTTTTCCCCTCACTCAGATACTTATGTTATATTCATTATTAAAGTGGAAGGTGGAGATATGAAGGTAAATATTTGTCACTGTTGTGGAGGACTGATCTCAGTGACAGCACATGCTGGGAGCTTAGTGACTGGAATACCTTTGGTTGTGGCAGTGACTCCCATTAGTAACAGCATGAGGAAATCTGATATCTGGTCATATTTTTAAGGGATATTTGTGTACTGTGATTTGCTACACTTTGAGTCATCTATTAAAATGTACTTTTTTCTGACTTGAAAATGTGTTGCAATTGTAACATCCTTAGTGTCACTTAGTGTATCTCAGCTGGGTTGAGTACAGCTACATGAATTTATATGAAGTAATGTGTTGCCATAAAATAATGGATGTGGGCAGCTTTGAACTTGTTCAAATCTAAATTTAATCTAAATTAGTCTAAATTCACCCTCACAGGAGGAGATAACACTTTTATCCTGTGCTAGGATTCAGTTTATTTTTGCTCTTTGAAGAAATTTTACCTCAAGGGTGAGTCTGTCTCACAGTGTGCACGTATCAGTGTCTTCTCCTCCAGTTTACTAATTTAACAGCTCATGAATCAGACTGCACAGCTCAGCACTCCATTGTTCTTCTGATAATTAATCAGATATGGCTCTAATTACTGACTTTCAGCAGAACTTAACTGTGGTCATCTGTAACGTCATCTATTATTGACATGCTGTAGTAATATAGGCAAGAGAAAAAGAACGTGCAGGAATTTTCTAATGAAAATTATAATGATTTTTCCATCATAAATCTTTTATATAGGTTAAATATGGCCTCCTCATTTTGAGATATCTGTCCTTACATCTATAGCCACATGATGTGTCTGTCATGTCAGGAGGAAAGCTGAACTAACATGTAAAGAACTAACATTTAAAGAGTTTACTGACTTTTCTTCATGTAAAAATCAAGCACAGTTATTTCTTCTAAAAATCAAATTACATTTCAAGAATTAAGTCAATTTTTGTCCTCTAAACATTACAAATCTTACTAACACTGCTTGATAATAGTGATGTTAACTGAGGTTTCTGTCAAATGCTTTTAAACTAGTTGAAAGCAGAAGGTGTGGTCTTTCTGTAGAAATACAGACAATTATTAAAAATACTAATCATGTCAACAAAAAAATTGCTTTCATACCTTAACTAGCATCTATGTCTATTTCTTTAACAAACTTCTTCACTAACAGGCTATGAGTATTTTTTTTTTTAGAGTTCTGAAATATGGTTGTTTTTTTGTAGTGGGATTTCAAGTGCTTTGGATTTGATTTGATCCTTTGAGGTGCACACATAGACATGGTGCTGATACAACAAACACTGGAATAGCAGAGCAGACTGCTAAAATCCTGGCATTTATGAGCAAGCAGCAGCAAATTGCTTCTATCATATGAAGATAGCTCAGAGGTACAGTAGTTATGGGGGATGGGAGAGCCTCAGTAGAAACGTAATGTAAAAACTTAGCATATAATTTACTGTTTCTGCTTCTTCAATAAAAGTTTGGCAGTTGCAGTATATGAAGAATTGTGGGGGGATTGTCTATTTTAGCATCAAAATCTAAAAATTACCAATTAGTGCTAACAAATGAGAGAGACTGTAAAATAAGAAGATTGAACTTTTCCTATTAAAAACTCCATCTGTTTGAAGTACCACTTTATAAACTCAAAAGGAGAATGCTGACAAAATTATGTGAAATTAAGTGCCTGTTCTTGGAAGTTTTGTGTGTGTTCCTTCTCTGGAGCCTGTTCAAATGTACTGGGAAAGGGGCACAGTGATCCACTGGCTCTGCCATCCAGCAAGGAATCTGCACAGGCAGTTCCTGGTAATCTGGGTAATTTACTGGCTGCTCACCAGCTGCTGCTGCTGCTCATCTCCAAGGAAGTCAGACTTGCAGGTTTGCATGTTGCCTGTGGGGTATTTTCATACGTTACAAAGATCCATTATAAAAATTTATTAAAAAAAAATAATCTGCATTTGTAGCAGGCCTCCAGGTTCCAAAATTATCAGTAAAGGGTCGACAGGCAGAAGGAAACGTTGTTTTCTGAAGAAAAGCAGATTAAAAATAAAAAACATTTTAAAACACTTACAGTTTTCAGTAATAGTGACAATATTAATTTACAGAAAAAATTTATAACTATCTCTGTATGGGGAGAAGCAGAATTTGTTGGTGCTCTCCATATTAATATCAAAGAACACATTTGTTTTTGAGCTGGTATTCCTGCCTAGGATTCCTGTGATGATATAAAGGACTGACCTGATACTTTCCTATTGTTCTGAAAGCAGAGCTTCTTCAAGTTTGAGGAACTAAAGCAGAGTGCTCCAAGTTTTCCTTTTATTTTAATGTTTTGTTGTGTTGGGTTTTTTTTAGGGTGGATTTTTAATGTTTTGATGTCAGGATGAGGAGCAAGATACCTCTCATTCTTCTAGCTTGTGGCTCCTTTAACCCCATCACCAACATGCATATGCGTTTATTTGAGCTGGCTAGAGATCACCTGCACCAAACAGGTCAGTAAAGTCCTGTTAGGACCACACATACATAGTGTTTTACTGCTAAAAGGAAGTTTTTTAACACTCACTATAGACAAGCTGTCACTTTACAACTTGCTTATTTTTAGTATTGTTTATTGGTCATTCAGTATTAGACTTTCATAGCATTTTCAATATAGAAAGTCCAGCATTACCTTTTCCTGTGACTTGGTACATAAACAAGTATCATAATGAGCATTCATGCAAATAAACTGAAAGTTTTATCAGCAGTTTTATGATCATATTCATGAAATAGGCTGAGCCTTATGAAAGACTATGCTTCACAATTTTGAAACTGAGAAGAACCATTATGTTCAAATTTCATGCTTTTATGATACATTGTGTTTTAATATGAAGAAGTGTTGCAGTTAGCAGTTTTGACAGCTGGCTGAAACTGGAGAAAAGATGAAACGTTAATTATTCATTATCCATCCTCACTAAGAGGTACAAGTTAACTCCCCTAGCAAAATAATTCCCTCATAAAGGAGATCAGAAAAGCTAAATGTCAGCAGGCTAGAAAGTTTTGGCAACAAAGGAGAAAGGTGGGTAACAACAGAAACTTAAGCAAGGATCAGAAGAGGTACTGACTAGCAATGAACTCTAAGCTACTTAGTTGATGAGGCTTTTATTTTTTTCTATCTGTCAGGTAAAATATGCACATAGATTTCTGGAAGGGATTGGAAGGGGATCATAGTTTATTCTAACCTGACAGAGAAGCTCCAAGGGAGCTTGTGCAGTAGGAACAGGAGCAGAAAATAATAGTAAAAAAAGGAATTTGGCTGTCAAGTTGTGGGAGGTGGGGAGAGAAGCTGGTAACCCAGTGATCCCACTGTGCAGAAAAAGCAGCAACTACACACTTGCCATAGACAGTGAGAATTCTTTTGACTTTCATGAGGAAGAATTACACAGCCAGCTCTGAGGGCTACCTCTACGAGTCTGTTGTAACTGTAGAATTGTTTTGTTGCTCCCACAGGAAATAGAAATAAAGGGTTAAAAAGGGCTCTGAATCGACTCTTCTTGCTGTAATTGTATAATTGCTTCTGCTGCCCAGGTGTGGAAGGAGTAGAAAGGCCATGTGAAACCAATTGGTAATTCTGTTTAAGTCATATGTTATAGTCTAGTAAGTTGTTTATTTACCTTGAAAGAAGAATTGAACTGGAAAATGAATTTTAATTGTCTGAGTTACAAATAATTGTCTGGTCTGCTCCAGGTTCTGTGTAGCAAGACTCCACCCCTTACTTAGAGCAGTTTACTTAAATCTGGTGAAAATCATATTAAAAAATGAAATTTTGAAAGGCTGAAGTGAAAGTTGTGCATTACACTGCACATCTCTAACATCAGTTTTTAGTTCTGGATAAGGAGTGGCTTGCCTTTTGTCATCTTAGTGTAATGTGTGGAGACTTACTGGTATCAGTGCTTTATGAATTAAAGAAGGGGACTTCATTTGTGTCTGGATTGCCTACAGTGTTATCATTGCACTTTCTGAATGCTTAGCCCAGGATGTCTGCAAACCAAGAATTCTCAGAGAGCTTGTGGAAGCTTTATCTATCCCAAATAGAGGTAGCTTTCAAGTAAGTAGATATCTATGTTTATATGTATGGATACATACAAATCTGGTATATGGACTTTCTCACTGTGGTACAGAGAGTTTGGAAACAGAAGCAGAGGGTGCCAGCTATAGAAATGGTAGATTCTGGATGCATGTTTTATGTGGGAACCGTTCCCACTCAGGAAAGATATTAGTCGTTCTCCCGTGTTTTTAGTCCTGTTCTGCAGTTACCCAGGGAAGGAGAGGAGAAGTTGGAGTTGATTTGCTGAGAAGCAGCACTAGCTGCAGACTGGGACCTGAAGGTATGGAGGGGCTGGAGGGCGATGATGCCACATGACAAAAGCTTGTTTGAAGTGAGATTATGGTCTGCCATATTCACATTGATTCCCTTCTTGGTGAGAACAATGCACTTCCCAGCTCACATGCACACTGAATGCCTGAAAAAGTAACTAGTATGAACAAAGAGTTAACTTTGGGCAATGTTTCCTAGGCTGTGAGAATGATTTTGTGCTTCTTCACTATTTCTGCTCAATCAGAAATGGGACAGAAGGGATGCGCTGTACAGTAGCTTGGCTGGTGTTGACTTTGCAGTCCGATTTTACCATTAGGAATGACATAACTATCCTGATGTGCGTCCTCACTGACATCCCTAGTAATGCTGTCTGCCAAGTTTTTGCACATCATTTTCATTTAAAATGCTGTCTAATCTTATTTTTCATACATTGCTACTTTAAATAGGGAATTTCGTTGAGTTTCTGATACTTCAGACAATATCTGCAGCTTCATTGCCACATGTCAAGTATTTCATCTTTTTGCTTTCAATATCAGTTCACAAATCTTGTCATGCTGCTTTTTAATGACAACAGACATAGCTAAGTGTGACTTAATAACTCTAATGATTCTCTTTGCCTTTACCCTTTACACATCCTCAAACATAGCTAGAATGTTCTCAGATTCAAATTCTTTTCTTAAAATTGTTTCTTGAAACTTGTACTGATTGTGGCAAATGCCATTCCAGTCTGTTAATATCTAATGCCAGGTGCTTTATTTCTTTTGATTCTATTCCTTATTTGACCATGAATTCCAAAGAAATATTACTAGCATCAATGTAAGATGTTTAAAACCTTGTTTCCCAAATATTGCTAGTGGAGGATATCAAAAATCTTCCAGATAGGAGTGAAAGGAATGGACGGCAAAGAAGGAGGTAAGGCAGAATGTTTCTATCTGTGACATGACAGAGGCAATGTGAAGGACAATGTGTTGCTGTCTCATGAGAAGTTGGTGAAGATGTGATGTAATTGATAGGTTGTGTCATATGCAGCACTGGGCAGCAGAGATGAGAAGTCCGAGGAGTAATTAGTCACTAACCAGCCTTTGAAATTGAGAAGTTTATGATGTTAAAGGGTTTCATCTGATTAAACGGGGATTTCTTCAAGAAAGGAGTAGGAGCAGGTTGTAACAGTAGCCAGCCAGCATTCAATTTGTTTTCCTTCAACAGTTCTAATAACCAGGATTTGAAAACAGCATCAAGTAATCCTGGTTTGATCCAACTGTTTTGGTAGTGTTTAGCAATACAGATATGTGACTGGAATAGGATTAGGTCAGCAGTAGTTACTACATATAAAATAAATATTGACAAGCATTAGTTAAAACTAACTTAATGTAAAAAATGAAAATGAAACAGATATTTGATTTTTTTTTTTACAAGATTTACAGCAGTGCTTGCTTAAATAGAGCACTACTTGGTTAATTGTATTAGGCTCTGCTCTTGAAAGGCACATGAAGAGGGATGAATATGTGGCTGACCATTCGGAAGGAATGAGAGCTATCGAGGGTTCTTGCAGAGGTGCAAACTGAGGCAGCAAAAACATAAATCTAAAGACATCTCAAGATATACTACATCCCCAAAGAAAATGCTCCTGTTACATATAACTCAGTTTTTTCAATACTGTTATCAGTGCATACAGTTTAGGTCCTAACCTTTTTCTGAATTTAAGCAATCCTTTTCTAAGTGAAAGAAGTCTTTCCTTTCCACAAGTTTTGTTGTCTTACTCTAAAGCCCTGCAGGATAAGGGATGAGCATCTCCTGCTTGCAGTGGTATTTGGGTTATGCCCTGTATTTGACTTTGGAATCCTAGTCATCCTGTTTTGTAGCATCTCTGAAGAGAACCAAGTCATATTGCATGACAAAAGTCAGCTTGGATGAGAACATTTCAAAGTAAGGTGTCCTGTGAGTAGAGCTACAATACTTTATTATTCATGTTGTTACTCTCGAGATGGTGGTTTCAGCCTTCTTTTCTGGAGGAAATACTTATTTTCTTGGCTGTTGAGAAACTGCCTTTCCTTCTTTTTGTCCAAATCCAGTGAACTTGACAGAAATGAAGTTGTATTTTGAGGTCTTGATACAAGATGTTAATTATAGATGTGCTGTGTGGTGATCATGCAGCATGTATTTCAGACCTGATCATTGTGCATGCTCAGTTACTCAGCTTTTGGGGAAGAGCTCCTGAAGCCATGATGTATTTGAGTGGCTGGCTGACTACAGAGGCAAATCTGCATCTTTAGGCCCTGTAGTTCACTCAACCAGGTGGATATGATTTATGTTTATCTAGGTACTCATATGGCATCTGTCACTACAATTTTTGCACACCTCATCTACTTCAGCAAATGTATCTTTCAAGCACTCTGAAGTGGTGAAGGTAAAGTCATCCATCCTATGGAGAGCAATCCTAAAAGCTTGTCCATTGCTGCTCTGATGTATTTATTGTTTATGCTGACTTGCAATGCAATGATTGCTGCAATGTTTACTCCTTTGATTTTTCCTTCTGTTGAATTCCCTTCACAGAAGGTGACTGAACATGAAGTAAAAAAAAAAGTCTCGCAGATTTTCTTTTCCTTTTTCATGCTTGGTAATCTTTACATACATGTCAGGGGAAAGTAAGGATCGGATGGTATCTTTTTTATATTTAGTCTGTAAATAGTTTTGAACACCTCAGATGCTTGGTATTACTTCTACCTAGTAATTAGATATGCTTTTGTTTTCTTTTTATCCCCTACATGGACTCTGAACAAAGATGTTAGATATTCCTCCCTACACTCCAGCTAATGATAGGTTTTCTAGTATTTGGTTTTCAACCGAGGGGTTTTTTTGGTGTTTGGGTTTTTGGTGTTGGATACTTGCTTTATTTTTTGCCTGTGCATGAGAACATTATGGTCTTTGAACTAATGTCCATATCTGCTGGAAAAGAAAATTAGCATATTTGAGGTGGCGTTATATTTAATTGATGTCATAGAAGCTACTACCAAGTTTAAGTGTCTGATGCTGTCATGACTTTTGACTCATGAACATTGGTACTGTGTGTTTATAGTGATGTGCTGTAAATATAAACTCATCTAGAAGATTCTGCTTGGGGTAGTTAGTTTGGTATAAAGAATCTGGCTGTATAAATGATGTGCCTAATTCTCAATTGTCACAGAAATGCAAATGAGGCTTATGTTTTGTAGGCACTGTTCAGC